AGCTTCGGGTGGGCCGCTACAGTGTGATACACATTTGGAATATCTCTGCGGCTCATTCACTGTTGCATCGTGTTCAGGTTCGAATGGCGATTCTCCAGCAAACGCCAAAGCTAGCGACCACTCTTAGTGCCAAGACCTTTACTACTGAACTGCTAGCCACCGTCATGCGCTGGTGAGCTCCACTGGTTTGTGACTCATTGAGGTTCTCTGTGTAAGGCTGTGTGACCCGGTGTATTCGGTCCGTGTGGCCGCGACGGAGAATCTCGCTAATCTGAGCGTCGCAATGGGGACTTCCTGGGCTGTGGAGAATATAATACCGCACTTACAGGAACTGTCTAAGAATTCAAACTACTTGTATCGGTGAGCGAAGCGAAGGAGGACCTCGACGGGCATGAGGTGTTCTCATCTCAGGATGACAGCTCTGATGGGTGTGGTATCGATGGCCAACGTCCTCGACGAGAAGGCCTGTGCAGAATTCCTTATGCCGTTACCGAGGTATGAATCTCCACCTTTTGTGGAAGCTTTATCCTTTTCACTCGTTCATGTTGGTATCAATACTGGCACTATTAGGAATTGATTAGATCTGAGGTTCTCGTAATTCAGTAAGTATGTAGTAGCAGCAGGGGTGGCTCTTGAATAGAAAGGTTCAGTACTACTGATTTGCAGGATTGTCATGGTTGCTTGATGTTAGGTCACTTGTCCAGGACTCTGTCGCGAACGTGCGCTTCAATGTAGCGAAGACTCTCAAGGTTGGTGGGAACAGCCAAAAATGGCTCAACCATTCTGGCCTGCCTTCAGAGCATCACTTCTCGTGTACCCCGCAGGACCGTGCAGCATGAGATTCTTCCTATTCTTCAGAAGCTAGCACAACGGGACACGGATGAAGACGTAAGTACCACTTCTATCGTTCACTTGTGTGCGGTTCTGTCCCCGATTTAAAGCTGGTGAATGGTCATTTGAAAGTATCACGAATGATGACTGATTTTGTGCGTGTCTGATGGCCGCTAAAATGCGGTGCATGACGACAAGTCAAACCATCCTTTTAATTGACTGATTCTGCGTGGTCTCCGATGTGGGGGATTTAGGCTCATTACAGAATCTTACAGCCTTGCATGGTTTGATAATCAGGTCCGTTTCTTCTCTGCAAACGCCCTTGAGGATCTACGAAACGCAAAGACGGCTTGATTTTATGATCGGTCAATTGATATATGCCCATCCCTATATTTGATGACGTTTCACTGCATATCTAGCTGCACGCCAATGGCATCACTGTGTGGTACATTTCGAGGACCTAACTTGAGTGTTGAGCAGTGCATGAGGGGGAGGCTCGAAAGCCGTTGAATCTATCCTCCGTTATAACAAAGTATTTGATGAATATTCTTGTGGCAGGTCGAAGAGTAGCGAATCATACACTAAGTATAACGTGTTCCAATTCATGGTGATGAACGACAAATTCCAGGGGCAAGAGAAAATCCCGGAGTTCCATTTGTAGATTTGCATATTTCAGGAGAGTTATGTTTCTTAGCATGTGTAACATCCAAAGTTCTCATAGAACAATGGAGGCTACTCAAAGTTCAAATATGATGTTTCACAAGCCCCTTCCCTTCCTCCTGCACAACCGTTAATGGCCATCACAAAGATGCTTGAATTTTTCTAACGATAATATTATTCGAGGACTATATCATATACGTTATTCCCAGACTTGTCACTAAATAACTCAACAATACCATCGTCAATACAACTCATCATGCAGGATTAGATCGGTGCCACCATAACCCATGATAGCTCAATAGTGTTACCTCACAACCTATCCAACACCGAACCATCATAAGGTTGGGTTGCGGACACCGATTAAACCGATAGAGAACCCAATGGGGCAATACATCAAATTCAACAACGCGCAAGTCTTCAGCGCATCGGCGCTATTTCCCCTCAAGTTTCTCCTTCCTGGCCTTCGCAGTCGAAGCAGCCACCTCCAAGAGATTGGCGATTTGAGCGGCAGTCAGACCGGAATGGCTCGGACGAACCGCCATGTACTCAGGCATATTGGCTATAATAGGTGCCTTAGTTGGAGCAGAGCCGTAGATTCCAGGGGGAGGGACAGCAGGGGCTGGAGCGGCAGAGCCCGAGTGGGCGTTATCAGTAGGGGGTTCAGGAATACCGTGGGGCATCATATTAACACGTAGGTCACCCATGGGAGGCATCAACTGCGCCATAGCTTCGGGTAAGAAAGCTAACGGTGGTGGGTAACTCATCGTAGGATCTAATGAGAGAAGTGAAGACCAGCAATCTCGAAGGCTACAGCGTACCTTGCTGAGCATCATAGCAGCCATGTGCTCTGGCGGAAAGGGAGCGGCGTGGGCTGGAGGGAAGGCCTTGCGATAACCCGGAGGAGGGGGAGGCCTCTGTCTGAGCTCCTCGGGACTGTGGGCATAAAAGCACTTGGCACCGTATCTAACAAAGTAAGTCGAACAAGAACTGTGCCTCGGCATCGCTCACTTGCAGTGAAGGCCATATCGGCAGAATCTTGTCTTGAGGAGCCTCTTGACAACGTCGCTCATCTGCGGCTGGGTCTCATCATGTCCATTGGTCGCAGCTGGACGGCTTTCTTGGGGCGCAGGGCCAACAGCCTCCGGGTCGTAGGCTGGGGGAAGGGTGAAGGCTTCCTCCTTAGGAACATTGGGATCATCAGATTCACACATGTGAAGAGGAGTGGCGGTTGTAGCAGTATCCATAGCTAACAGCAATGTACCGGTAACAACGTCAACTGAAAGTCGTTGGTGTCTCTGCGACCGCTACTGCTCTCATGCCCATCAGAGTCCCACGAGGGAGTACCCACAGAGCCCGGACTACCCTCAAGGTATCGGTCCCTAGGGCAGGTCTTTGACTTGAGGCTGGTGATTACCTCTCATGACGCCAGTCCACAACCTCCGTTGAAGAATCTTTTGTGAAGTGATTATCGTTTCTGCGCACTTGAAATAATCGATTGGAATGGCGCGCGCTATTTACAGCCGCGCGATATCTCATCGTAACCACTTTAAGATGTCCAAGATTTCCTTTCTACTCCTCGGTGCCTTCCTGCCTTGCCGGAAGTTGCCTGACCGCCGTAAGCGCCTTAGTACGTCCCAATGCCTTTCACCCAGTGAGGCTGCGGGGGCGAGTGACTACCGACTGGCATCTGCTGCCGATGGTGATGCTGAATGGATTAAGGGTGAGTGTGGAGCTCCAATGGACGCCGTCAGGCCCGACATCCTCCACCAAACTCTCATGCAAATACTGGACTCTGAGGCCAACAAGTTTGGGTATGTTGATGACATAGTTATAGTCTTGGATGGTCATCCCTCTGTTGGGGGCCTCCGCATCACCAGCGACTTTGTCGTTCCGCGCACCTACGGCAGCTTCAGCCGGTGTTTGGCAGCCGCTATCATGATGCCATACCGAATTGGAGGCATATCTCGAGTCGATTACGGTGTAGAGGATCTCAGAATGCCTGGGGACTTCGTAATCGGCCTCACTGTGGGCGGCCGCTACTTGAACAGCACGGACCTATCCGGTACGTTGAAGGGCTTCATGTCGAGCCCCTACAACCATGGAAGGATAGTCATCGCGATGGGTGTGACCTCCCATACGGACCCAGTGGCTAATGGTGCCCTCTCCCATGTGATGGGGGGTATGGAGTTCATCTCAGTGTCACGGTTGGGCCTAACAGCCTCTTGGGCTGCCGGTAAAGTGTGTGAGGCAGTAGTCCTATAAATTGGCTCGCATGGCTCATGTCAAAGTGTTTGGCATTAACTCGTTTCAGTCGGTCACGAGGGTGGTGTTGCTAGTTCATAGTTGGACTCAGGGCCCTGGGGTGATTCAACCGAAAAGTGCATCGATAGCGCCTCGGTTTGTAACTCCTCGATGTTAACCCATGTCTCCTTTTGGGCCTGCAGGAGTGTACCCTTCCCTGGACTGTCTAGTGTCCGATGGTATCGGTTGTTAGCTGCAACCAAGGCCATGCAGGTGGCGCCGCATCGGTACGAACTACGTGGGGAAATTGGTGAGGCGAAGCGGTCCGATGCCGTGCCGAATTTGGTGTGTTCAGACTCTGCGGATTTGGGAAAGTTTATATCACCGCTTCTGGCGTCCCCGGGGGACCAGGTGGTCCTGATGGCGGTAGTGTGATTGGTCGTGGCGTTTGGGAGCTGCCTTTCTGCAGTCACGAGCTCGCCATATAGCAGCGGTTCTGGAAGCTTCGCTCCGCTGCAAAAAAGTGGAAATGATGTTCACAGGACCACCTGAAGAAACGGAAAGAGATGGTAGGAAGGTCGCAAGCCCGGGGCTGTGAATGACCGGCTTTTGCAGAGTCGAGGAGGCCCGAGACGGTGTGGGCGTCACTACGAGTACGTACTGGCGACAAGCCGGAAGTGGACCCAACGCGTGTCACTAAATTGAGAGTCTCGGCTGAGACGGTATCGCCAAGCCTTGGGGAGAAGATAATACACCAGTTGGAGGGTGGCGATGTTGTACGGCTTGAAGGTGATGACCCTGCCACCCACATAGGACTACCATCTATTCTTCAGCAATGGGCCCGGTAGCACTCGCTAGATTGGTCAATGGGATAGCGGTGGCAGCAAGGAGAGGTAAGCTATCGTAGCAATTATTACTAGGAGTTACCGCCATATTGATGATACTCTGTGTGGTATTGTCCCGACGGCTCTGGGCATGCTACGCCTTATCAGGAGCTGAAAGGAATAGTGGCAGTCTCGTGTCTCGGGCCCGAGGGATGCGGCAGAAAACTCAAGGTGGGGTGGCCCTTTTGAACTTGGAGTGCTGTTCCCTTTCGTTCGGATGTGTCTTGGTCTGACTGTCCATCTTTCATAACGATTACAGGCGGACAGTTCTGGGCGATCGAAGTAGAGGTTACCCTCGACAAGCAACACCACAAAGAGGAGGAGGAGGAGGAGGCTCCCAGTAGTGAGTCAGTGGTCCGGGAGGTATCCAAAGCTGAGGACGGCGGCCTGTTGGAGTCCAACTGAGCATGATTGTTGTTATGTGAGTTTCTGTAAAATTAAGACTGGTCCGGGTTGGTTGGTATGTCTTTTACTCGGAGGGTCTAGGGCTTTACGGAGGGCGAGAGTAGAGATGCCCTTGACACTCTCAAACGTGTGTGTTTGTAGCTTATTAGTAGTTGTGGTATTATGCTACGACAGCTTGGCCATTTCCGGCGGTATTTCGTATCGGAAGCCCGTAGGAGATCCCGATGGTCGAGAGAGTTCCGGCCGATGATGTATGCTACTGCTAAGATGCAGGACGCTGAGAACCGCTTTACCATTTCGAAGGATGCTGGTAGTACTGGGGGCACTTATAACGGGGTAGTCAAGCATGGTAGTGCTTATAAGATACGCAAGAGTGT